CGCACCGTTCAAAAAGCTTGATCTTCGCCGTACCCATTCGACACGGGGAGTCAAACCCCAAGCTGCCTTTGAAAGGGTAGAGTTTCGTCTCGAAGTAAGAGGCCGTGTACAGTTGAGTTGCTCACATGGAATACCCTCGGGGAGTGCCCAATCCCCATTCCGTATGACGGTTATTCCATATGACCTCCTGTTTTGGCTGGGAGAGGCCATTTGGGAACTGGAAAAAGCTATTCCATATTCCGGTTAGATTATTCCATATGAGCAACTCGACTGTACCATACAGTACCATATCCGAGTTCCTCTACCTCCTGGATCGTTGGATGGGTTGCCAAGTTTATGTACGCTGGGTTCAAGAAATGTTAGATGGCGCTGTACGATTCTCGGACGCGAGGAGTTCAACCCCGAGCTGCCTCCGGGATGGTTATGTTTCTGTAAATTCAAGAGGCCGTGTACCGTACACCATGTCGGATTCCTTCTAAGTACCTCCTGGATTCTTGGATAGGTTAGCAAGTTTTTGTGGGTTGGGTTGAAAAAGAATCCGCCGCACTTACAGTCGGACATGGGGAGTCGAACCTTGGGCTGCCTTTGGCATGGCTATACTTCTACAAAGTGAGAGGCCGTGTATCGTACACCATATCCGAGTCCTTCTATCTCCTGTATTGTTGAATACGTTAGCAAGTTTTTGTGGGCTGGGTTAAAAAAGAATCGACTGCTCTCACAGTCGGACATGGGGAGTCGAGCCCCGGGTTGCCTCTGAAAGTCAAGAGTTCCGCATCCGCCCAAGGATGTTTGCTGCTCACCTCAAAGCAGAAAGGCATACCATGTCCGCTTCCTTCCACCCCTTGGATTATTGGATAAGTGATGATTGGCTGGGTTGAAAAAGCTTTACTCACGCGACTACCCATTCGGACGCGGGGAGTCGAACCCCGAACTGCCTCTGCAAGTGCTTCCAAATCAAAGTGTCCGTTCAGTGCAAGAGGCCGTGTACCGTACACCATACCCGATTTCTTCTATCGCCTGCAAGACTGAACAGGTCACCGAGTTTCTGTGAGCTGGGTTGAAAAGTGTTGAACGAGGGCGCATTCGGACATGGGGAGCCGAACCTTGAACTGCTTCTTAATGCGCTCCTTCATTCCAAAGCAAGAGGCCGTGTACCGTACACCATGTACGAGTTCCTGCACACCCTGCTTCTTGGCTAGGTTAGCGAGTTTCTTTGGGCTGCGTTGAAAAAAAAGCTTTGGTACCACGACTACCCATTCGGACGCGGGGAGTCGAACCCCGGGCTGCCTCTGGCATGGCTATACTTCGCAAAAGCGAGAGGCCGTGTACCGTACACCATATCCGAGTTCCTGTACCCCCTGTAGCACCGAATAAGTGCGCGCGCCGAAACAAAAGATTGTCCCGTTACATGATATGATTCGTGGACTTGAGGTGCGCCGCGCGCTGGTCCGAGAAGTGTTCCTTTCGAAATTAGATGAATCGAGAATTTAGGTCCAGGTTTGAAAAAGATCGGCGTAAACGGTGAATACGCCTACGCGAACACGGAGAATCGAACCCCGAGCTGCCTCTTCGCATCTCGCCGTTTTTTGAGGTGAGAAGCTGTACCATATCCGCGTTCTCACCCTGCAGCGACGTGGAGTAAGCGCTCTTTTTTCTGGGGCGGGCATCAGCAGTGTTCACTCGAGACAACGGAAATCGAACCTGCATTGAACGGAACAACATTGCGATCACGAGCACGTCGTCGGGGTTGTAAGAATTTACGTCGGGTGGCAGGGTCAACTCAATATAGTGAGTGTACACGGGCGGTGATTGACCTGTCCACAAACCGACGTCAAAACATGTAGTAATGGTTCTATGAAGTCGGGACACACATTGTGGAGTGGGAGATTCAATTTTGGCTTCCGTTCCGCGAACCCGATCGTGTTGAGCAATTGGATTTTGAACTTTGAAGAAGAGCCTAATCCGTTAATGGCAAATTGCTTCATCGAGTCGAACTGTATTCAATTTAGAGAAATTAGGAGGGAGAGACAGAATACTTGACAGCCCGGAAATGAACCCCGAAAAAAAACAGAACGTCAGCAACCGGTCAAAGCGGGGGTTGGACGTCTCCTTCGGGATCCTCGCTTAGCCCCGTGAGGTTGCGCATGATAATTGATATGATGTTTTTCTCCGCTTCGCCGCTGATGTACCTGAGGTGCTAGTCTGTTTCAGGGTAAGCCGCAGCTGGCGGCCGGGTTACGTGTCCACTTATTGTCCTGCGACGGGCGCGGTTTGGGAAAATTAAAGTGGCGGGGAATGGTAAGCAGCGGATGGCGGGTGTCTTGGTGAGCCGGGCAAGAAAAGGTTATGGAGGCGGTTGGAGCGGATGGTACGATAACCCGCGCCCGCGCTCGGAGCCAACTCGGGCATTTGATTTCGGGCTAGCAAAGGTGACGGAATTTCATTTTTATTACCTCCGTGATGCCCCATGCCCCCACATATCGATCGTTTTGCGGGGAATTTGTTATTCGTTTTGCGGTCGTTCTGCTGCAAGAACGAGCACGAAAAAAGACGGGGTGGGAGGGAAGTGGCAGGCAGATTGAAGGGGGGAATGTGCCTGATGCGAGGAGGGAGCGAAGTGGTGAGGCGGAGGCGGGGAGGAGGCGATCACCAAGTGTTTTGGGTGCTTCATGGGGATGGATGGAACATGTCAGCTGGGGCTTCTTAACCGTGGTCCGTAAGCCAAACAAACCCCTTGTCCTCCTCCACCACTCTACATCCCTCTCTCCAGCCAGCCCCTGCAAAAATGAGCGACATCGAGAAAGGCACTGGCACTGTACACGACGGGGGCGCGGGCAGCCGCCTCCTCGGCGCAACCCACCCCACCAGCATCGCCAACCCCGGCGCGCTGGGCCTCTTCTCGTTCGCGTCCACGACGTTCATGCTCAGCTTCTACAACGTCGCCGTGCGCGGCATCCACACCCCCAACGTCGTCGTCGGCATGGCCCTCTTCACCGGCGGCCTCGCCCAGCTCCTCGCGGGCATGTGGGAGTTCCCGCGCGGCAACGCCTTTGGCGCGACTGGTACGCATCATGTCCGGTGTGGTGCAGATGCCGTTGGCTGATCGGATGGCCAGCGTTCACATCGTATGGCGCGTTCTGGCTCTCCTACGCCTCCATCCTCATCCCTGGCTCCGGCATTGGTGCTGCGTACGCCTCGGAAGCCGAGTTCCACCAGGCGATCGGCATATTCCTCTTTGCGTGGTTCATCGTCACGGTCCTCCTCCTGTGCGTCCTTTTTCACATCGTTTTTCATTCCCCCTCTGCGTCACCCACCTATTCTGTTCTTTTGACACCCATCCCTTTCCGTCCCACTGTTCCTTATCGCACCTTTTTTTTTGCCTCTTCGCTTCGTTTGTTTGCGATCCATCTTTCATCTTACGTCACCTCGGCTTTTTACCCGCATCCCCATTCCCGCCTCCGCCTCCCATGGACCGCGACTCGCGTCCTTGGTCATCGCGCTCGCAGCGCTGCTTACCGGTCCCTCCTCCCCTCCCCCCTTCCCCCCATTCTTGCTTTCCCCTCTGTTTAGCGCGCCTCTTCCATTCACTCTTTCATTCCCTTCCGCCACATCAGTTTTTCCGCCCCACATTCCCCACCGCTTAGCTTTTAGCGCTTAGCGCTTACCTTGGCGCGCCTTGGCGGTGGCGGTCTGTTTTCCCCACCTCCGCGTTTTCCCCGCCTTTTCTAGGCCTTCCCCACTTCCCCACCCTTCCTCCACCGCCACTTCCACACCCACTTGACCGACTGCCCGGACGCGCCTGGGCTTGGGGCCTGATGCGTTTCTATTCACTTTGGTCTCGCCCGAGGTTGAGGCCGAGGTCGCGTCATCCCGCATCTTCCCCCCTGCTTCAATTCATTCTCCCGCGGCGCGCGTTCCCTCTTTCGAACGTATTCCCATTCTCTTTTGTTTTCTGGCGGGCGGGGCCTCGATGAGGGTCACGCGATGTGGGCGCGGTGGGCGCCTGATCAACGTGGTGCATGGCGCGTGGCGCGTGGCGTGGCGTGATTGACGCGCCGGGTGTCTTATTCCTTGTTCTTTCCATTCTTTGGCCCTCCATCTCTTCCCATCCCGCTCAACTTGGTTTCTCTCATGGCGTTCGCATACTAACCTCCCCCTAGCATCGCCTCCCTACGCAAGTCCATCGCGTTCATCGCGCTTTTCGGATTCCTGTCGATCACGTTCTTGTTGCTCGGCGTGGGGGAGTTTAACGGGGTGCCTAGGTGTGTTTGCGTTCCTCTTTATCTCTTTATTCTCCGGTCGCGCTCTTGCCGCGTTTTCTCTTGCTGCAATTTCTTCGACCACGATTCGAATTCGAGTCGTGCCTCCGTCACGGTCGAACCGCCTTCCTTCGTCCCCTCCCAAATAAATCAAGAGATTCAACGCTAACGCAATATCTTTCTTCGCAGCGTAACCACCGCCGGCGGCGCCTTCGGCATCATCACCGCCTTCATCGCGTACTACATCGGCCTCTCGGACCTCCTCGCCGCCGAGCGCGCGGCGATCGTGGGGCTGCCGACGGGCGGGTTCAAGCATGACTAGTTCCTCCTCCACTTCACCCCGCGTCGAGTTCAGGAGTTGAGTTGGGTTGGGGAGTTGGGTTGGGTTGAGTTGGTGAAAGCAGGAGGCAGGGGCTGTATCCCCGGTATATCCCACTATCGTATCCGACTGCATCACATCGTGGAGGAGAGGAGAGCATAATACTTGACACTTGACTAGCGTACCTGCATACCTCATTTTTTATTGTTTCGATTGTACATGTACAGATACGATACGTTTCTTGAACGTCGCTCTTCTTGGACGTCACTTTTTTTCTTGGAACTCTCATAGCCCTAGCCGACGCTGCCGTCGATAATCACACTCGTTTAATTTTGTTTCGACGTCTCCAAAATGGACGTCGCAAAATGGCAGACAAAAATGCGTACCTTACCTAGAAGGCCCGAAGAGAGGAAGGAGGTAAGCCAGACATGGTGTAGATTGGTAAGACCGCTTCGGCTTCGTATCAATGAAGTATATCGTGGTCTTGACGAAGCAGTGTGGGGTTCGAATCCCCGTGTCTGGATGTGGCATGTCATCTGGCCTTTTTGTTCTTTGGAATTGGTTCAGAGGATTTTTCCGCTAACGGGCGAGTTCGCGACGCGCCTTGCTCCCCATCTCAGTAGATCCATTATTTTATCGCGTTGGGAAAATTGATACAGTGACTTGAATCCCTTCAACTTCAATCAACGCACTTAAAAATTAAAACACTTGGAACGTCGATGCCGGACTGTCAGCAGGATTATAGGGTCTATTGCTTACGGATGTCGTTCCGAGTCCTCGGCAGGCGGTGGTCTCCACTGCTGACGCCAAAGCGGTAAAGAATCCGAAATGTTCCTTTATATATCGTCCTACCATACAGACCATATCCACTAAACACAAGGAATAGTTCCACATCCACCCACATCATGGCCATCTCTGTACTCGTCTTTGGCGCTACTGGAACAGTCGGCTCCGCCTGTGCCCGCCAAGCGCACTCCCTCGGCGCGACCGTGACTCTCGCCGTCCGCGACACCAACAAACCCATCCCGGGTCTCTCTCTCGAGCAGGAGAAGGCCGCCGGCTACAAGCGCGCGCAGGCCGACCTGACGAAGCCCGAGACCATCACCGCGGCCGTCGCGCAATCCGGCGCCAAGCACGCCTTCGTCTACCTCGTCCACTCCCCCGCCACGGCCAACCGCGCGGCGCTCGAGGCGCTCAAGGCCGCAGGCGTGGAGTTCGTCGTGTTCCTGAGCAGCGTCGGCGTCGCGCTCTTCGAGCCTGCCATCGACCGCGTCCCGGCAAAGGAGTTCATCCCCTACGCGCACGCTCAGGTCGAACTGGCGCTGCGGGATCTCTTCGGGGCGAACTACGTTGCCCTGCGGCCAGCTGGATTCGCGAGCAACACGCTCGAGGGGCCGGGATGATCAAGGCGGGTGTTGTCAAATTTCCCTACCCCGAAACCAAGTTCGACTGGATGGTGCCCGAGGACATCGGGCGCACGGGCGGGACGATCCTTGCCGGTGGGCCGGGCAGCACAGGGGGCAAGAGGGAGGTCTTGCTGTGCGGGCCGCAAGTAACTACCCAAGGGGATGCAGCGAAGATTATCGGGAAGGTGGTCGGGAAGGAGGTGACTGTAGAAACCATCAGCGAAGAGGAGGCGGTTAAGGGCATGTCTGCCCGCATGCCGGAGCATGTCGCGAGGTATCTGGTCGGGATGGTGGCTCACGGCATGGAAGGAACCACCCTAAGCTTGGAGAGTTTGTATGCGAGTGACCAGTACACGGGTGCGGTGAAGAATGTGGAGAAATACGCTGGGAAGGCGACCACGTTGGTAGAGTGGGCGACGGAGAACAAAGAGGTTTTTGAGTAAGCGTATGTATATATTCAATGTAGCCAGACTTTCGAAGTACACCTTGACGACTAGATGTAGTATTTGCTCAAATGCCGCTTACAATCCTGTACTGCAAGTTAGCCGCAAAAATCCCCAGAGAAGAAGGAGCACATACTCCTCGGCATTATTCAGTGCTTCTACCATGACAGTGAGTTCTCTCCGCCGTGCCACAACACCGTCGCTCTCCTTGAGCAGGCCATCAATTGCCTTGGGATCAGTGTACAATTCGCGCAACAGCTCCTGTTGCAGGTTCTTTGTAGCGTGCGCGACAAGGTTCAGGGAAATCGCCTTCGGGACTGTATCGATCATTTCGCGTTTGACGATGTTGAAGTACGAGCGCATGAGTAGTTCTGTGCCGAACGACAATAACTGAGTGCTTCGTCACGGTGTAACCCCGGGGAAGCACGCACTGATGATATCGATGTCCTTGGTTTCCCGCTCGCTGAATGCGGACACAGGGCGTAATACAGGAGGCGCAGCCTCCATTATTGGTGTAGATGCGCGGGCGCCCCCCGTTGCCTTTGACGTCGCACCTTTACTCCTAGCCGGGAAAAACGAGGTAAAAAATCGGGACTCCTCCTTCTTTGGCTCCACGTCCAGGTCGCGTTCATTGTTAATCTGCGCCGGTTTTCCTGTGGTGCGGTCCGTAGGTGTCGCAGGTCGTGCGGCGTTGTAACGCTCGTCTACAATGTGTGCGGCCTGTCACAATTGTTCAGAGAAAAGGACGATAAACCCAATGGCCACCGACCTGGTTGCCGCCAATGAAATCAGGATGTGTTGTGTTCAAGTAGCACACTTGCATACTGTCGACGATCAAACAAAAGGAATGAGCCAACCAGAACAACTTACGCAACCAAATCGGAGACAAGCTTCTTCGTCGGCTCCATCGAGTTCTTGAGAAAGCTGATAACCACGGTATTAAATCGCTCGCGCAGTGCAGGATACCGTTTGAACGAGACCTACATTAGCAGATTCCGAGTGAGCTTTCAACACAATAGCGCAGTCGACTGAAAGACGCGCCATCTTTGTTGAGAGCTGTTCAACAATCCTAAGGAGCTCGTCGTATACGATTTGACAACACTTCAGGCTCGGCTCCTCCAGCCGTTTAATCTGGCTCCTGACCAGGATTTCGAAGCTGGCCGTGTTCACAAACAGACCCGGCGTCGTGCCCTACATCCATTAAGTCAACGAATCTCGTACCAGAGCAGGCCACTCACGGATGTCCCGTACTGGATCGTACGAATGTCCGCATCCTTGATGTGGTCGAGGGGATCGATATTCTTGATGCCCGTGCTGTACAATTCGTGAAACACGAATGCAATTCTGGCGCCGCCCGAGAGGTGATCCAGAGACAAGGCGCTGGCGTTGCTTCCGTCGATGATGGTGCGGAATTCAGTTGTGAAGTCGGATATCACCGTCAAGAGCACATTCGCAGAAGAGCCGTCGATGAGGGGACCGCCGAGCGTTTGGAGCTCCGCTGAAAGTCTCTGCCGCTCGCTGCTAATACTGGCCTTGATACTTGGTAGGGTGTTGCGAATATGGCTCTTAAGCGTCTGCACTACTGGGTTGATAAGGATATCAACGTGAAAATGTCAGCGCACGTTGTTGAGTTTCTGCGCCAGAAATGGAGTTCCGCAGTACCGCGCGTTTGCCTGGTACGCAGCATGGTTCTCAAAGAACTCGCGCTCCTTCTCCAGGGCGTAGCTGACCGCTCGATTGGTTTCGACGTCGCGCTGACCGCGGTTGACCACTGGCACATAGCCGAGTCGGAGCGGAATCACTCGTCCACCCAAAATGCCTACGACGTCAGTGCCGGCGTCCCTGTATAAACATATCAGCGTATCCCCATGCTGGAGCAGATCCAGACATACATGAGGTCAACCTTGGTCAACACCCCAATCGTTCGCAGCCCCTCCGGATCCACCTCCCTTGCCATCTTCAACCCATCGGAGTTGGCAAGGTCCTGGTTTGCTGGCGTCACTGCGAGGATAATGCACGCCGGGCGCGCAATATATTTCATTAGCATCTCGCGGATCTGCTTCTCGATATCGCGCGGCTGGTCGCCGACAGGGACCTTCGTCAGACCCGGAAGATCGACCAACGTGAGCGTCAGGACGCGGGACGAGTATATTCGGAGATTTATGGGGAGGGGCGAGATCCCTCCGTTGCGCCCGGTTTTGGCTTCGGTTTCGCGTACGATTTCGGACCGGATGAGGTGAAAGTCGAAGAATTTCTGCCCGGGTAGGTGGAGGAATTCACCCCATTCGTCTTGATTTTTATCGTCACTTGAATCCGCTGATAGGGCTTGTTAAAGCGGCCCGTATTATATTTGGGGAAAGAGCTACCTGCCGATGGCCCCGACGCAGGCCTGTGCACCAGCTGCAAGACCTGTTGATTCGTCAGGGGTTAGCTCAAGGCAGACACACACAGCCACTCACAAGTGGTCGTCGGGTTACGATCCCATTGCCACGGGGCAAGAAATCACGTCCAACGAGATTCTGATAAGTGGTTCAGACCGGTGCATTCTGCAGCATTCAGTTGCTGATACGTGACGAACTCACCTCGAGAACACTGCTTTTCCCACTGCTCTGGCTTCCGAGCACACATATCTGCGGAAGATCAATCTGCGCCGCACTGGGGCCCACAACCGCGAACGCGTCTTGAAGTTTATTGACGAGGGTAACGAGTTCCGCACCGAGGGCGGGAGATGGCGAAGCCATGAATTGCAGGCGGGGAAGGCGAAGGAAGATGTGGGACTGAACGCGGGACGGCGATGAAGCTGAAGGCGCTATATATACTGCGTATGCACAGCCAACTGCGCCACGCTAAACGCCTGCGCAGATTGCTCCGCCCGCAAGCCATCAGATCCTCGAATCCGAGTGACACGACTGAACAGCAACGTCGCAGTTGAATTCCTCTATCCTGCGCGTAATGCCTATGCGAAACTTCGATAATCTGAAGCTGGTGATGCAGCGAATGGCCCGTAAAATGATTTTAGAAGTGGTAATCACAGAGCAGCCAGGCTGAGCCGGCACAGGTTGACTTGGATACTTTTTCGATGATTAATATTTTCGTTGGCGAAACAAAGTCGGAAGACGGGGTCCAAGGGCTGAGGAGCGCAGCTATGTGATAAGGAAGGTGAATCATTGTGAAAGGCTTTCGAGAAGGGGTTCAAATACAACGCTACCATCGTCCGAGGCAAGATGGAGGAAGAAAGAGCAGAGACTCCATGTGCGCGCGATCAACACGGATCAGTCTCCAGCGCTCACTCCGCTCATTCCATCAACCTCGACACAACCTCGACATCGACCTCCACCATGGCCCTGGATAGCCTCCCACCAGAGCTTTTGGCCGAGGTCTTTACGCGCACACTGTTGTGGAAATATGCGCATGAACCTCGCCCGCCATCGACCAAGGAGACCCCACTTGTCTTGACTTTGGTCTCGAAGTGCTGGAGGACGATCGCATTCGAGACGCCGGTGCTGTGGTCCTCGTTATTATATTACATCCGGCACGAAGGCGAGGCTGGCCGAAACGCTCTGGATGGCGTACGGGCGTGGCTTAGACGCTCAGGCAATGTACCACTCTACTTGGGCATTTTCATCGATATCGTGGACCCCGAAGTCGCGAATGCGTTCTTGAAGATATACTAC